AAATTCAAAGACCCAATCCAAAACTGGGCAGCTGAGATGAATACACACTTCTCAGATCATGAAATACAAATGGCAAATAAATACATGAGAAAATGTTCAACATCATTAGTCATTAGAGAAATGCAAATTAAAACAACATCGAGATTCTATCTCACTGCAGTAAGAATGGCTAGCATTAAGAAACCAAGCCACTGTTTTTTAAGTAAGTTAAAATAGCTCCCCCCCCCCATATTGCTTATCTTCCTCTTGACCATAAAACCCCACATGAAGGGCACTTAGGCTGGCCAGTCAGAGATGGCAGCCTTCTGGGTGCTCTTGAATACTGAGATCTTGAAAGCACAAAGCAGTCTAATGCTGCCTCACCTGGAAGACCCTCCTTTACAGAATCTGGGTGGCACTCGGTGCTGTTGGACTTCAAACAGACATAGTACCCTTGTATGAAGCCACGCTGGGACTCAGTGTCATAGTCCTTCCAACTCAGAGTGAAGGAGTGGGGTGTCAAGTTCGCCACGGCCACTTGAGGGCTGTCCAAAGGAGCTAGGAGAGAAGGTGGGGACAGGAAAATGTCACAATCCGGAAATAGTATCAGAAAATTCCTATCTACAGAAAACACAACCACAGCCAGCTCTGAAGGTTGTAAGAACATATGCCAGGCTAAGGAGTTTTACCTGTTTCCCAGAAGGATTTATGCCTTAATAGAGTTTGTGAAAGCCAGCAAAGAGTAGAACCATCTTTTTGTTTAGGCCTTGACTTTCACAGATGAAGAAACAGACACCCAGAGTGGCCAAGTAGCTTGCACAGGGTCACTTGATTCTGTTCATGAATTCTAAACACTATTGGAGGAAGATTCAACCACAAAGAATGTACTGAAATGAAGATGAACGGGAGAAAGAGGCAGGGTTATGTTGAAAAAGGACAGGAAGCATTTTGGAAGAATTCTAATTCCCAGATGAAGGCAATGCACTTATCCAAATACCACTGAAAAATACCTGGGAATTTCATTCTGAAGGCTTTCTTGGGCCTGTTTCCTCCTTCGCGTGCTTATGCACGCCTGACTGTGCACACGGACACACAGAAGCAGTGCACCTCCCGGCTGTTTGAGAGCAGCCAGAACCAGCATGGGCTCCCAAAGGAACCCACTCTGAGAGTTGGTTTGTGAGTGTGAGCAGTTCAGGGCCCTGCACACAGCTTGAAGCTGCAAGGGCTTGGATGCGGAAGAAGGCGAGGGACAGCGACTGCATCTTAGAGGGGCAACTGCACAGTGTGTCCGGATAGACTTAAAGACGATAAGCAAAATGAAAAAGTGAGTTCAAAGCTTTTGACACAAGTAGTCCACTTCTAGGCCTTCATTTAAAAACCATACTATGAATAAGGACAAGAACTTAGATCAAACAAAGAGGATTCAGACATAAAGGAGGGGAACTTTTACTTGAAAATGAATTTTATAGTTCATAAATGAAAATCACTGTAATAATTCTAAATTGCCCAACAGGTGATTTCACACATTCATACATTGCGTCATTTTTCAGTTAGAAAAATGACATTAAATAAGTAATATTTAATGACATGAATCAAAAAAGTAGTTGACAAAATGTGTAGAGTAAGACCCCAGTTTTAGGGAAAACGGCAATCCTAGGATACACCAAAAATATTAACTCTGGATTTTTGCCTTTGGGTGTTAAAAGTAGCAGTGATTTTTACCTTTTCCTTTTGCATAACATTTTATAAATTGCCTTTAATGAAATGTTTTACATTTGCATGACTGTAAAATAATTTTTAAAACTCATTTCCCAGAAAAAAATGGGACTATGAAAATTAGGTAAGTGGATGTAAACTTCCTAAACCCCACACTAGGAGTTTATGGATGGTTCTGAACAAGTCTTCACAAGGGGCACATTAAATGTTTTAAACTTACCAAGTTCCTGGGTATATCCTGTTTTTTTCTCTACTAAGTAAGCAGTCTTGTCTGTAGATAGTTCATAAATTCCGAAGTTGTATCGGATCCCTGGTCTAAAAGCATCTAGAGGAGAAAAGTCAATGAATTGTCAGTAACAGAATAAAAGTCTCTTTAATTTGGAAAAGAAAACTGTGAAAATGAATTTGTGTTACTCTAATTATTTCACTCTCAGATTTCCTGCATTTTTCACCACCAACTTTCCTTCTTCTGCTAAGCCTTAGCATGCTTCCTGCTGCAGACACCTGATCCCAAGGGACTGTCCTCTGCAGCGTCCTTTCCAGCAAGAGCTCTCCAACATGCTCTTATCCTTGCACAGAAAACTGGGCACACGGTTGGACCAAAGGCATAGAACCTCTTTAAACCCTCCGGTGACTTCAATCTCCTTAAAGTCATTTGCTCCTCTTTTTACATTAAAGCTGAGGTTCTTCATCAGTTTGCTTCCACTTCCTCACTTCCCCCACATCTGCATCTCTGCAATCTTGCCGAAGAGCCCTCCGGGCCACTGAAAAATAGCAAAGGCCTGGGCACCTCCGAAAGTTCTCACATCCTTCCGGTAGATGGCGCCACCCACCGTCTCCCGCTTAAACCACAAACAAACTCAGGCTTTTTGACTTGGCTAACCAGCAAGCTTCAAACGATAAATCCAGTGTAAGAAGTGAAAGTTTAAAAGTTCTACAAGTTTATTAAAATTGAAGGAGTTTATGATTGAATTCCACCAACTCTTACGTCATAAACGTCTCTCCAAACCACGCGCTTCTCTGATTTTGTAAAAGCAGTCTGGGTAACTGTTCTAATGTCTGTCTGTGTTCACCGGAGACCACTGATTTAGAAGAGCAAGTTCATCAGAATCATGAAAACCTATACAAACCTGATACCTACATACCTTGCAAAAGCTGTATTTAAAGTTCAAATTTTAGAATACATTTTTGTGAAATGCGAGCTCCTAGCATCCAGGATGTATTTTCATTTCCACATATTAGTTTAGCGCAGTGTCTGTGGGGTCAACAAGCGAGCCTGGCTGAACTTGTTGAAGGTGGCTACAATGGGATGATATCATGGGAGTTTTACCTGAACTGATGACTGTACTTGTGGTATTGGAACCTAAATACTTCCACTGCAAATCACAGTGCAGGTTCTGTGGATGCTCACACCAGTCTACAACATGTCCTGCTCTGTCTCCATATCGGGGGTTCCAAGATACAAGAAATCCATCCTTGGTGCCATTAATTTTTTCTTCTTCAACCTCTTCTGCACAGAAAGAAAAAGAACAGTGCTCTGACTTAATAATTGTAACTCTTTAAAAGTTTCTGAAGAGGAAAATAAACATACATATGCAAAATATCTGCTACAGTTTGAATCTAAAATGCCCTCCAAAGACCAATTGTTGAAGACTTGGTTCTCAACATTTAGGAAGTGGGATTCAGATGGAGGAAGTTAGGTCATGGGACTGTGCCCTTCAAAGGGCTATGGGGACTGTGGTGCCTTTCTCTCCCTCTTTGCTTCCTGGACCTGAGGTGTGTACTTGAGCTCCACCATGCTCTCTCCACCATGATGTGCTGCCTCACTACAGCTGACCATGGACTAAACCTCTGAAACCATGATCCAAAATAAACATTTCCTCTTACCTTAGGTATTTTGTCACAGCCACAGAAAGCTTACTAAAACTCTATCTAACAGCTAAGAGCCAGGACTTAGGTGTAGAAAGCTTCCATAGGTCCTGCTCTTACTTCTCAGTAGATTCTTACACCTGACTTTCACCTATGCTTCATCCTGGAGTCCAGAGACCCAACCAGATTCTGGCCCTAAGAACAGGAGTCAGAAAACTATTACCAGCAGGACAATTTCAGCTCTGAGGTTTATTTTCACTGACCCTTGAGTAAAGAAGGATTTTTAAAAAATAAACAAACCAACAAAAGAGAGTGTAGGATATTTAACCAACACTATATGACCCACAAAGCCTACAATATTTGCTCCTCTACCAAGAAATTTGCTCATCCTTGCCCTGGAACTGTGGTGGTACTAGATCCGTTTTCAAAAACTATCTCTTGAATGAATGATTAATGCAGCTTAGCTCTCCTACGATAATGCTGGAGGCCCTGAATTAATCACTGCTTCTGAAGGGGAAGGTATTAAGCAGAAAATATCAGATGTAAATGAGATTGGATCAAGCAGAGAAGTGGACATAATTTGTGAAAGAGGTTACCATTTCAGCCCACTTTAATACAGCAAGGCAGGTTTCCTAACCTCTAACACTTTGAATAAAGGGCCTCAAGGAACTGTCTGATTTCAAGTAGGGCCATGCCCTGACTTTGAAGCAGGAGCATGTCTCCTGCTTGGCTTACATTAAAAACTGATTTTTTTGTTTATCTGCAATTGAAATTGCACTGGGTATCCTACATGGCAATTCCGATTACAACTGAATATTGCTGTGAAAGCCTGCAGCTATTAATTTTTCTAGGACATGAAATGGTTAAACCATGATCGACGCACTAAAAGGAATATGTAGTCCTATCTGTAAGGTAAAAGCCAAAGAAGGCTTTATATATTTCTTCCTATGGCTTCCTTATCTTTCTCCCTCAAATAATCAAATTCCCCCATCATGCTGAGGCAGACATTTTTCGCTTTGCTTATTCATCCAGGTTAAAATTAAACTCCATATCTAGGACTGTAATTCTTACCAAGTTGCTTCTTTAAAATTGCAAATATATTTTGAGGGAAGGGAGTAGAGTAAGGGCATCTTTTATGTCAGTCCCTCCTGACATCCTAGTGTGAACTGGCTTAGCCCCCGCATTATGGGTTGAGGAACATGGACCACTTAAGGAAGGCTAGCTAGAGCCTCACAGGGAAGAGGACTGGGAATGTGAAGGCAGGACACAGGGATGAAGGCACGGTAGGAACCCATGGACAGAGAAGACCCCACCCCTGAGAACAGCAGGTAGGTCTGACTGGCCCTCAGGAGGGGCAGGCTTTCTTTCATCTACCAGCTCCCTCAGAAATGCCCACTTCTCCTGTTCTGGTCCTAACAAAGCCAGAATATACCTATTTACTCCTTTCTCTAATACGCTCACTCACAAACTTAGTTTTTGTTTTGTGGTATGACTCTGATTTCTTTTGTTTATCTAACACACACCAGATAGTTCTTCAAAAAACAATACAGCCAGGCATGCTGGTACATGCCTGTATCCCAGCATGACTGGGAGGCTGAGGGAGGAGGACTGCTGTGAGATCAAGGCCAGCCTGAACTATATAGCAAGACCCTGAGTCAATAAATAAATAAATAAATAAATAAATAAATAAAACCACCCCCTCATTGGTCCACTTGACCCAAATGTAAGGTAAGGCTGAATAACTGGTACAATATAACTGTAGAAGCAGATCACAAATGTTACAGTAGAAACTAAAGGGCGACATTATTGAAAGGTGGATAAATAACGTAGAGTGCCAACTACCAGTTGCTTTATGGCCACAGGTGCATCGTGTTATAGTACGTGACTGAGGGGGCTTACTGTACTCCACTTTTTCTACAGCTTTACCAGGAAAGAAACTGATGTCACTGACGACTTCGCAGGTGAGGTCATTTCCCCCTCGCTTGCTCTGTTGCATGTTAAGACTGGTCAGTGATCATCTTTTGTTCTACATAATTGTCACGGCAACCCCTGAAAGATGATGCCAATTGGTCTTATCTCTGTAAATGTTTATGGGCTCTTGGTAGGTGACAAAGACTGACAAAATTTTTTACAACACAGTAAATGCAGCTCACATTTCACAAGCCACAAACCATTGAAATACCCTAATTCTCAGTAAGGACTGTTTGTGGGGCTGCATTTACTTGAATAAATCTGAGATAATTCTCCAAGTACGTTGAAGAACACCAGGACAGAAATGATCTGAGCTATGGCTGAAGTCTCCCTGCTACCATGAAGAGACCGTCCCATGGAAATACCAGGTTCAAAAGGAAATGACTAATAGTGCTTAGTTGCTATCTCTCCGAGGTACTGTCTTCTCAATCTGTCCATAACTACTTGGGAATATCATCAACATTTTAGAGAATGAAGACAAAACTAACTCACCATTCCCAGAGTTTTCAGATATGACAATCTCCGAGGTGGGGGAAGGGCCCACACTGTTGTTAGCCGTGACCTGGATTTGGTAAGAGCCTTGGTCGAGGGTTAGTTCTGTGCCATTGGTGGGTGCAGGAATACACAAGAGCTTTAACTCAGATTTTTTATCTAAATTTTTTGCAACTATATTGTAGAATAGGATCTTGCCATTGGCATGAAATTTTGACAGTGGCTGAAAAAAAATATTGACAATCATTTCAAAATGGACTTTACTTTGAATGGATTTTAGGTTTTTATATACTTTTTCATCTCTTCTGTCCCATAACTGCCCAACATCCACATGTGCAAACACACACACACAGCAGCAAATTCAGTTTAACAATGAAAATAGTCCTCCACACCAAGCTTGGAATCAGGCAGCCAAATCTAACCAAACTGAGTAGAGAGGATGATCGCTTGCCGACAATGCTCAAGCTAGAATTTGCCCAGAGAGGAGAGACCTGACTTCGAATCATGAGGATAGGAGACTCTAACTTGGAAGGAAAACAAAGATGCGAGGGGCAGCTGAGAAGAGACCACCCATGGGCAGAAACTGCACACCTGGAGGGTCAGGGGGGTCCTGGCCTCACCCCTCATCCAGTTGTACCCAGAGCCTACCTCCCTTCTTCTAAAAGATCCTCCAGGTCCCTGAGAATTGCTTGCCTACACATCCCAGCACCCCCCGAGACACTGGCCTTGCTGTTTGCAGCCCTCGCCCTGAGGCCGGAAAGAGGCTGTCTGCTTGGGATGTGGACAGAGCCTGGTCATGAGGCTGACAGGTCCACATGTGTGCGCACAAAGCCCTTGCGGAAGGTGCCCAACGAGAGGTGGGGAAAGCAGTGTAGGCTTCCGCAGGGGATCGACTCTCTCCACACTGCCATGTTTGGGTCTGAAACACTGGACAACCCCAGTTCTAAATGCCACGCTGGCCTTCCAGGATGTCACAAAGGATGTTAGGCCAAGTGGAAGGAAAATAGTTAGTTTATATTACAGTTTTATAGCTTGACTTGTAGTTTTTAGATATAAATGAATAATTAATTAATTAATTTTGTGGCTCTGGGAACCCACGCCCTCTTGTATGCTAGGCGGGCACTCTTCCAGTAAGCTACATCCTCAGCCCTTTATACTTCTGATTTTGAGACAGGATCTCACTGAGTTATCCAGGCTTGTCTCAAACTTGTGATCCTTCTGCCTCAGCCTCCTGAGTACCTGGGATTACCAGTGTGTGTGCCACCGCACCCAGCTCACAATTTTAAAATATGGTGTGTGGTTGTCCATAGATACCTGGCTCTGGATCCTACACAAGCTGGGACTAGGCTTGAGTAGGATTTACAGCGAAGAAGGTTCTAGGAATGAGAATTGGCCATCAGTGGCAGAGGCTGTGAGGAGAATTACAGCTCAAGAATTAGGACACGAGTGTGCAATGAGATTCCTGCACGGGGTGAGCGATTTTATTAGATTAACGTCACACTCTCTATAGAGAGACTACTAATACCCAGTTTCACCATGATGCACACAGTGGAAGCAAGCTAGATGTTTTAAAGCTACATAACTTACCTTCCAGAACAAGGTCACATTATGAAGTCCTTCATTGGACTTCACTATTCTCCAGACATCAAGAGCCTTGGAGGGAGCTGAAATTAACCAAAACAGTCCTTGGGTCACACGATGTGTGCACAGCAAGACATGCACTCAGCTTCTAAGACCGGGATGACGCCTGCCTCCTCCCTGTCTCGCCTTTTCCTTCTCTGTGGCTTCTACTCACCACAGCCACACTGCTCATGCTTCTGCAGGGAGCACATAGTTGGTGCTTAGAAAAGATCCGCTGCCCCTGAAAATGGCATCACACTAGAAGCCTTTATAAATGTCAAGGCCTACAACTTCCAGAAGCCAGCAAAAAGTCCTGAAATCGTCTGTCAATTAGATCAGTTCTAGAAAGTAAATTAGGTAATTTCCTACATTTTACTTTCTAGGCGGCGGGCCACAGCTACCTCTTTGTGCCACTTGCAAAGGCTGCCACTGGTACAGAAAGGGCAGGGCCTCTGCTGTCATGAACTGCCCTGCAGGCCCTTCGCTGAAGTCACTAGAAATACCTCCTCGTCCCCCTTTGCTGCCTGGGCCTGGGTCAGTGCCTGCCTGTGCACACGTAGGGCACCTGCTGCCACTCCCCTCTGAGATGGTCTTACTACACTGTTCCACAGTCATTTGCTTCCCTGTCTCTCTGTCTATAAGGCATAGGACCACGGGCCCAGGAGCCGGCCTCATTTGACTGTGACACTGTCACATATGGCTCAGGGCCTAGCATTTAGTGAAAGGTTATAAACAGTGTTTGAATGAATAAAAAGCAAACTAAGACAGAAGCTAGGAAGGGAACTGCCTAAATGCTTCAAAACCCTTTTTTTCCCCTTGTGTCCATCCCTAGCTCAAAAATCCATGCAAACTTCATTTACTGACTGGTTGGCTGGTTGGTTGATTGATTTCCATGGAATTTACACCTGCTCAATCAACTTGTCCTGAGGAGAAATCAAGTCATTTAACTCAAATTAGCTACATATGGGTGCCTTCACATAAAACTATTTGGGAGTATCTCATGTATACAAAATGACAGCTAATATCTACAGAAGGATTACTAAATCCCAGGCCAGTCCTGTTTTATATATACTAACTCACTTAATCCTCCTAGCTCTATCAGGTAGATATTCTTATTTATCATTTCTGTAGATAAGGAAACTAGGCCCTACAGAGATTAAACAAATTGTGCAAAATTATTTAGATGTAAGAGGAATGCCATGATTTTAACCGAAGATAGTCATGGTCTCAGCAATGATGTTATGTGCCTTTAGGAACTATATAGTCATTTGAAGTTTCAGCTTGAATGGAAAGTTCAAGTAAATGCACTTAAAAAGTATCTTGGTGACTGAGAAAATAATAAAATCAATATAATTTATTTTAAATTCTTTAAGAAGTGTATATCATCATCATTCATGTTTTAAAATACTACTAATGCATTAATGAGCACATAGTTGTCCGTTTAAGTCATTGTGTTTAATATTGCATAATAATCTGTATTCTATAGGGAATCACACTTTCCACTCTCAGAGTTTTGTTATGGTCCTACTTAAATAAGCACAGGACAAAATAAAAATAGTGAAAAAAAAATTTGTAACACTCCTCAGCCACCAGAACTATTTGGCGTTAGCTGCTAGTTTGTCCACAGAGACAAGTTATGCCACACACAATGGTGCACACCTCTCAGCCCAGCACTTGGGCTAAGGTCGGAGGATCGTGAGTTCCAGACTAGGCCAGCTTATGGAGTGAGACCCCGTCGCAGAGTAACTAAAAATTACAAAAACAAAAGAGGCAACATGAAAGTAGAGGAGAAAAGAAAAAAAAAGAAAAGATAAAAAGAAACGAAAACAAGAGAAAAAGGAAAAGACCCACAGGTATTGCGATCCCCCTGTAGCGGAGTCCCAACAGCAGGCCTCCTTTTCAAATCCAGTTTTAAACACATCTCTCTGCTCATCTACACGTTGTGAATGTACTGGGATTCTGTCTCTGCTTTTTCAAGGTGAAAATAAAATGATATCATCTCCCTTTCATGACTTCAATTTTGTAATATAAATCCTCCATGCTAAAATGGTTTAAAAGTCTGCCTAAAACCCAGACATGGTGGTCCATGCTTGTAATCCTAGCACTCTGAGAGGCTGAGGCAGAGGTTTGTAAGTTCCGGGCCAGCCCAGATGATTTAGCAAGACCCTGTCTCAAAATAAAAAATTTTAACAAGGGCTGGGATGGAGCTCAGTGAGAACGGCCTGGATTCAATCCCCAGTAGTGAAAATAAATAGTTACGTAAATAAATAAGACAAATTTTAAAGTGTTAAACAGTAACCATCACAAAATTAACAAAACTAACAAGGTATTTTACCTTTTTTATGTTCTTTTATGAGAAAGCAGGTAATTTGTGCTTTGATGGAAAAAAGCTCTTTGAAAGAGTTGTTTTGAAAAGTAGCACAAAGATTTATCTCCATCTTGCAGTCTACAATACTCAAAAATTAACACTTAGATCATTTTGCATTATTATGTTAGTTACTGACACTTTCTACTTGTGAGGGGTAAGCTGGGTTCTCGATCTGATTATCCTGGGAGCTACCCAATTGGAGGCATGACCTGCGTGCTTCCTGGGGTCCCCAGTCCCTGCTACTCTCACTCTGTCCAAACTATTTCCCAAACACCACCATCTGAGCCGCTTTGCTCTCCACACGCTTCCGCCCTGCTGTCTCTGCCTAGGGGCGGGTCAGCCACGGAGAGAACCCTCTGATACTAAACGAAGCCTCCCCTCCTTTAAGTTGCAAGTGTGGGTATTTTGTCTCAGCAACAGATAAACGGGCCAACCCAATACTCAATTTAAAGGTGACCCATATTTTTTTTAAAGTATGGAAGCAGAGTTCAATTCACTAAATAAGCCATTGGAAAAGCCAGTATTAAAATAAATACTTTATTGAAACCTCTGGCACAGTTTCACATTCCAAACTTAGTGCAAAATATCCACCTGGCTTGTAACTGATGGCTCAGAATATAAAACAGTGCTGCGACATAGCTGACAGCACAGCTTCTGATTAACCGCCTTCTCTCTCTGCCATTAGAGCTACTGCTTCAAAATGGGCCTCCGAGAATGCCACAGAAAGAGCTCTGACCCCGCCGCCACAACAGGAACAAAAAGAATGCTTGTAATCCTCCCTCCGGCAGTAGCATAGCCAGGACACGAATTGACCTGATTGCCAAGTTGTAAAGACAACTTCAAAGAAGAAATCACGCAGAGCCCAGACTGCAGCTCTGGAGCCAGGCTGTGAGTAGCAGCTCGGTGCCTTCCCGGATCAGCCAGCACAATCACCCTACCTGTCTGTACCTTGGTGTCCTCACCTATAAAATGAGGTTGTGACACCACCTGCACATGTCACAAGGATAAAAGAGAAAAGCACAATGAGCACTTGGAGCTCCGTCTGGCACACAGTAAGAGTCAGCTGCCACTGTTATCATCATATCTCTGCTGCCCATTCACACTGTAAACCGGATGAATCTCCTCACTCCATGGACGTAGCTGCCTCACCTAGAAGGCAGGCATCCCAGTGCTTATTATCTTGAACTGGAAAGAGTTGGGTGCAAGGCCAGCCGTCTCTCCTGAGGCCCATTTGAGCTCGGGCACATAGTTACTGATGAAAAGAAACTGTGCGGTCAGTACTGAAGAAATTCTACCACCACGAGCAGCAGAGAAAAGACCTGGTGTGCCACGGCTAGAACAAACCACTTACCAATAAAGAGCAAGGGTGCAGATATCGTTACATCCCCAAACACAGCTTTACTTGTCTATAAAAGACCAACAACTTCCATAGCACTAGAGCTTGATTTGTCCCCAGTCCTGAATTAAACATCCTCAATACCAATTTATATGGCTGAGATCCAGTGTGGATACAGCGATGTGCAGCTTATAAACTTTTGGAAAAATTTAAGGTAAGAGAGAAAATGTACAGTAGAAATAATACTGACATCCAATGTTTGAAGTTGATGTCTACCCACTCACTAGGCGTTTAATCCAATTTTTTAAAATGGCATCGTGTTTCTGTTTTTATATTTCCCTCCTAACTTTTGGTGCGTGAAAGGTGCTCAGGGAACCCAACCCACTTCCTGAGACTTAGGCGCTCCTTGGGGTAAATGACGGGGAGCCGAACATACCGGCTTCAGCTGTGACGAGGGTTGCAGCGGCCCATTTGCTCCATTTCCACACATGACGGGCACTGGCACAGCGGATGCGGACCACATACTCTGTGTCCGGCTGCAGCTCACTGAACAGAAACTCACCATTCCCCTTGATGGAGACATTGTGCTCCTTGATAAAAGAAAAGAAAGAGGAAAAAGAGTAAACGTGGAAGTATTGGTGCACAGAACTCACTGCAAGGCCACAGCAGAGCACAGCCAATCCTGATCTGCAGATCAGGTCTTTGCAAACAAAGAAAAGCAAATCCCAAGGTCTTCGTCCCAGTGCTGAAAGTGTATGGTTAACTCATGGCCCCTTTTAACACATGACCTCCATCAGTGAACCCGCACAGAAATGAGTTTAAAGTGATTTTAGTCTGTCTGTTCAGTACATAAAGGATTTTTGAAAATAGAAAATTAAGCAGTATTCTTTTTTTTTTTTTCTAGTACTGGGGATTGAACACAGAGCCTTAGATCTGACCCTCTTCCCAGATTCCTCCCTTTAAATTCCCTCCTTTGAGTAAGGGTCTTGCTAAATCATTAAATTGTCCAGTCTGAGCTAGACTTGTGATCCTCCTGCCTCAGCCTGTTAGAGTGCTAAGATCACAGGTGTATGCAACCATATCTATTTATGCAGTGTTCTTACCTGTCTCACATTTTCTTTATCATGAAGTTCAATCTGACACAAAAGTGTGACATAATTCCTAAAGACAGGCACCTTCCAAGTCACTGTGGCATTTGTGGCACTCACATTTTTAAAGTAGACACTCTCGGGAGCCTTCAGGTGAACTAAGGAAAGAAAAAGAAACAACAAAAATAATTCAAAGGACTTTGGCAAATAGGCAGTTCATCTCTTCCTCTACTTGTTTAACAGGTACCTTTTGTCTGTGTCTAAGAAAATGGCAAACTAAAACGTTACTCACTGACAAGATAAAATATGCCAACTACTAGCTTTGCTCTTTTACTAATCACACTTGATATTTTGAAAAAAATACAGAAAAAAAACAACCCAAAAATGTTTGAAACATGTGCAGGCAGATTATAGAGGGGAGCTAAAACTTGAAGAAGATAGGCCATGAAGGAAGAGTATAACCAAACCCAGTGTCTAACCAAAATACCATTAATAATGGCAAGGGTATAATCCAAAATTCTAAATATACAGGAATATTCCAGAAAAATGTCTCCAATTCCCAAGGGAAAAGAAAATCAATAGATCCCAAACTCCAGATGACCTCAATGGGGCACTGTTAAACAAAGACTTCACATAGCTCTATGAGGTAAACACAACTAAAATGAATAGAAGGAAACAGTTCTCAGCATAGAAAGAGAAAGAGGCAAATGAAAATTTTACAACTGCAAAGCATAGTATCTGAAATTTAAGAAAAACCTGGATGGGTTGCATTCTAAGAAAGATTAAGGTGTCCCCTAAGAACTCTGAATGGAAGGAAGACAGCAGCGAAGAGACAGGGACCAGACTGGGAGGTTCTACTGCACTGGCAGTGAATTCCCTTTGGTTTGATTGGATTTCCAATCAGTTCTCCCAACTCTTGGCCTTGGATGAGAACACAATAGTGTGAGCGAGTGACACCGTGGAGTAAAGTTTCAAAAGGAAGAGCTCTAGGGAAGCAAGCAGCATGAGGGAGACAGTGGAGAGGGCTGTGTGTGACAGTGACTCCATGAAGTTATTTGTGAATGCCTGTGCCCACTTCCCAGTTGCTCACGCCTGGACCCGTTCTTACCCAACATACTAAAGGCTTTGAGGATTGAATGAAGACTCTTGTCCACGACCCAGTCTAAACAGGGGGACACACAGAACATACTTAAAAAGGGCCGCAATAGCTTGGAAAACAGAACTTGCACTGGAACCACAGGTACACTGAAGGCAGGATGAACTGCAGCCCACACCTAACCAGACCAACGGTCAGCCAAAATGAAATTCTGACACTCCCAAGAGGGTCTGTACACTCAGAATCCCAAACATAACACACAAAATGTCCAGGATAAAATACCAATCATTCAGCATACAAAAGACCAGGAAAATTTTTTAAAATTTCAGCTTATATGGGAAAATACCATCAACAAATGCCAATTCAAAGGTTGAAATTATCTGTCACAGACCTAAACAATGGTTATAAACCTGTTCCAACAAGCAATCTTGAACAGTCTCAAAACAAATGGAAAAAAATTTTTAAAATCTCAGCCAAAAAATAAAGGATAAAATAGAAATTATAGGCCTGAAAGTAGAATGAATAAATAAAAAGCTCTCTTAGGAGGACCAATAGCAGAATAGAGATGACGAAAGAGAGTCAGTGAAACAGAAAACAGATACACAGAGATGGTCCCACGGAGCAACGAGGAGAAAAAGATCTGAAGAAATGAGCAAAGCCTCAGGAAGACGTGGGATTAAAAGTTTAAAATCCTTCCCAACTTCAGGGAAAGATATAAATCTACAGATCTGACAAGTTTAGGATGAAAAAAACCCACATGGGATAAAAATCTATCCTAAATACTTAACAATCAAGAAAACCTTGGTGATATAGCAATAGAAATTATCCAATTCAAAAACAAGAAAAAATTCTACACACGCAAAATGAACAGAGCCTCAAGTTCCTTAAACAATAGTTTTTCTTGCCTTGTCTTTTGTCTCTTTTCTTTTCTCCTCTAGCTCCTCCCACCCCTTCTCCCCACCTGACTCTCTCCAGCCCTCTTTGGTGCTGGGGATGTATACTAATCTACTACTGAACTACACCCTCAGCTCCAATAAAAGAATTGTCAAAAGAATAGGGAAGAGAGCTAGCTTCAAAGTGGTAATTGAATAAATAATGTTGGAAACCCCCAAGTTTGGTGATTTACATAAAGTTACCTATTCAGGAAGTTCAGAGATTGATCAACTCAAAGAAAACTATGCCCAAACCTATCATAATTAAACTATAGAAAACCAAAGGAAAACCTCTTCAGCCCATACAAAAATAGGATATGATACATATAGAGGAATGATTCAAACGATCGTACATTTTAGATGAGAAACCAAGGAGGCCAGAAGATAGTGGGGCATCTTTAAAGTACTGAAAGAAGTCTTAATCCAGAATGTAATACCCTGTTTTAGGAAAGCAGGCAAATAGAACTTATCAGATGAAACAAAGCTGATGGTTTCTTACCAGCATAACTTCAAAAAAAGTTAAATGGCTGAAGGGACATGACAATAACATGGAAAGAAAACTTGTGACTTTGGATATAGACAAACAACAGAAATGGTAACTATTTGGGTAAATTCAAGACTATATTCTCTTTTCAAGTTCTGTAAGGTATTCATGAATATTGAAAGCAAAAAGAATATTGTCTGGTGGGTTTTTTACTGTATGCAGGGATAAGGCTGAATGTACCTATAAGGCTCCTCAGTGGGGGAGGACAGAGGGGCTGATGCACTTGTCCTGCTTCTTCCACATTTTATGGGAGATGTGTAGCATTTCTCCAGACAGCCTGGGACTGACCTGGTCAACCTCTAGTTTCCGTAATTACGGAGAATAACTGTAGAACGGACTAGGGTGCAACATCCTGAGATGAAGCAGGAAGGGAGGCTGAATGGAACAGCCTGGGAACTTCTCTACTTCCTGCTAGAAATAGGATACTCTGTGTCAGGGAATCATAGTTCCCAGGGTCTGAAACCCAAGAAAGGCTACTTTCTGAGGCTGTTCAGCTGCAGTGCAAGTGGGGAACTCACAGAGGAGATTCTGTCTGCCCTGGACAGCTTTCTTGAGCCCTAGAAGACTGGCTAGCAGTGAATCCTCAACTTTTGCTCTTGTTGGCTGCCTCTTTGTAGTAATGCTTCTTCTTCATGGACCTAATTTGTGTACGAGTGGGTTCCGCCTCATTGGACTCAGGCCTCTAATGCAGCAAGCAGGGCCAAGTATGAGGGAACTGGTTTTTTGGCTAAGTGGGAGAAACAATAGCCCTTCTCATAACTGGCCCAGGTGCAGACGCCAGCTTGGGGGTGCAGGAGCTGGATATGCAGCTGGAAAATACATGGCAAAAAGAAGAATGGGACATAGACACACACTTGTGCATGGTTGTGAATGAACTGGCTGCATGGATTGAGACACAGAAAATGTGGGAACGGGGAGCTTGGAGCAGGATTCCTTGGTTGACAGGCACTTGAGCGATTGCGCATTCATGGGAGGCTTGGGACACAAGGATTCAGATGGGCCCTGGCTGTCTGAGAGTGAAGGAAAATGAAGTTCATGACGAAAGGCCCTGCGGCATCTGAGCGGGAAACAAAAGGCGGGCAGGGCAGACTTGGGCAGAAAATCTGGTGAAGTCTCCTGTGGTCTAGCTGGTGTGTCTGCTTGATAAACGGGCACTGAAGACCCAAATGTCTCAGGTTCCACAGGATGGTTCAAGATGAGATAGAAGTTTCTGGACTCCCATGAGAGGGCAATGACTATACTTCTATCAAAACGGACGGGAACAGTAAAAATTTCAGACTTAGCTGGGGTTCTTGGATATGGGAGCTACATGATAATATTTCCTGGTTCCCTCAAGGAAAAATCAAACTGATGGCAACAGCAGGCTTGTGGACAACACAGTGACCCCTGGTGCCTACCTATTTATCTGCTTATGTGTGGGTCCCTTTGGGCACTGAGTACATTACAGGAATTAGCATTTTGGCTGCTGGTGTCCCAGACTGTTCCCCCATCTGAAGACGGTACTCCTCACAGCTGAGAATCTGAACCATAACACTGGCATAGCCACTCCTGCCTGTACTCAGCTCCCCAAGTCCTAATGGGCTACTTTACAAAAGTGGTTCTTCCCACTGAGCAGGGAGCAGGACATAACTGTGCTAATGCAAGACTTAATGCAGATGAACATATTGCCAACAACACTGTGAAAATGTAACAGCCAAGTTTGGCTGGTCCAAAAGCTCTCTTGGGCATGGAGACTGACAATGGACTACTGCAGGCTAAATGCCAAGGCCATCTGGGTGGAAAGCCAAAGAAATACCTTGGATACGCTCAAACAGAAACAGTTGGGCCTGACTACATCTAATGAAAAGGGGAGTCCAATAGCTACTAGTGAGTGTGTCTTACTTTTATCATTGCTGAGACGAAATATCCACCTTCAAAGTTAAAGAAGGAAAGGTTTGTTTCAGCTCACAGTTTATAGAGGTTTCAGCTCATAGTTGGTCAGCTCCAAGGCAGGGAAGTGTGGCAGAGAACCATAGCAGAGGAGAAGCAGTTCATGGTGTGACAGGCAGAAGACAGGGAAGCAGCAGCAGCAGCCTGCTTCTCTCTATTATTCCTTCCAGGCTACCTGCCTTTTGGGTGGTGCCACTCAACACCCACACCCATACTCCACACCCACACCCATACTCCACACCCACAACTATGCCTATGAATCAGTGGACTAATTTAGCAATCATGCACCCTTATTTTCAGCATCACACCGTTAATCCCAGCATCACCCACCATAGATCCAGCTACCTCTGAAAAGCCCCACCTATGACCCTATGAGGCTTTGGTGGAACAACTAGACACAAGCCACAACAGTGTGACAATAAAAAACTGCCAGGAGGGTGTGATAGCCTCTTGGACTTCCCACATTTACATCACCTGAGGTAGCCACCTGATATACTTCTTTAATTGGCAGCTTCTTGCTTACTGTTGGACTCTGTTATCCATAGACTGAGCGGCCTATGGCCACAGCGCCAAAGTGGACACCACAATGTGAACATCTCCTCGTTACTTAAGTGCTTGCAGACTCCAGCAATAAAACTGGATAGGCTTAACAGAGCT